GACAGCCTGGTTCTCACAAGGTGGGAGGACAGGAGGTGATGGGCAGAAGATGAATTGAGATCTTCAAAGTGCAGGAAAAAGCTTCTCCACCATGAGGTCAGTCAAGCTGGGTGCCCAGAGCTTGGGCAATTTCCATCCCTGGGGGTTTTCAGGATGGATAAAGCCCTGGGCACAATCACTGAATCAAAAAGGTTGGAAAAGCTCTCCAAAACTACAGAATCCAACCATTCCCCCAGCTCTGCCAAGGCCACCACTAAATCACATCCCCAAGTGCCACATCCACATGGCTTGGATCCCTCCTGGGATGGGGATTCCACCCTGGGAAGCTGTGCCAGGGCTGGACACCCTTTCCATGAAAAAATATCCAATCTGAGCCTCCCCTGGCCCAGCCTGAGCTGTTCCCTCTCCTCCTGTCCCTGTTCCCTGCGAGCAGAGCCCGACCCCTGTGGCTGTCCCCTCCTGGCAGGGAGTTGTGCAGAGCCAGAAGGTCCCTGCAAACACACAGAAACCTGCATCATGGAATTATTTTATTCTGTATAAAAACATGTGTAAAAAGAACAGAGGTCCCAACACCTTGTTTGAGAGATAGCCCAACGCCATGATGTTAAAAACCTTCTAGAAAACAACCTCAAGTCCCCCTTTCCCATGTCACCCCTTCCTGAGTTTCCCCTCCACATTCCAACAGGGCCTGCCCTTCACCTCCCCAGCCAGCCTGGAGAGATATTATTCTTCTCACAAAAAAATCCCCCCCCAAAAAAAACCAAGAGGAAAAAAAACCCCTCGATTATTTATGCTGCTCTTTGAACAACACAAGCTATTGTCAGGGAGTGTTTTACAGCTCTGAATGTCACATTGAGAGTCTGGTCATGCCAGGAGAAAAGCCTGCCACTGCCATGTCCAGGCATAAATCCCTTTATTCAAGGCACCCGGAGCCCAGAGCTGGGTAAAACCTAAAAGGAAGCCGGTGGGTGTGACAGCCACATTTTGTACAATGACATAAAAAGGAACAGGCAAAGCTGCTTGGGTGGGGCTTTTTTTTTTAAGGTGAAAGGTAGAAAAACTCCAAGGAGCATTGTGCAGAGCCAGGTGAGCTTGGGCTGGATGCTGCTCTGGAGGAATTGCACGGAGAAGCGCAGGGGTGAGCAGCTCTGGAGAGCTTCCCAACAGGACCCAGGGAACTTTTGCTGTTGAGAAAACCAAGCTGGCTGGACAAGAAACCATTTCCTGCCCAATTGTGACTGTGTGAAGGGAAACAGAGCTCTGGAGGCAAACAAAACCCAGCCACCTTCGGCTGGGGAGCGCCCTAAAACCATCGAGCCATTAAAAGCCTAAAAGACAAAAAAAAAATATGTTAAAAACCCCCAGTCAGGCCCTTTTCTACGGTGTGTTACGTTACAAGGCAAAACTGGACAGGTTGCAATCTTCCTCTGCCGCACCCCAAATGCCAGGTTTCAGGTTACTTCACCCAATGTACCTGCAGGAATTTGCTCGGAAGCGCAGCATTTCTACCGAGCTCTTAGAGCCAACCTTTACTCTGCAGCTCTTCCCAAAGTCCTGCAAAGAAATCAAGTGTCATTTCCTTCCCCCTCCCACACCCCCGTGCGCCGATGAGGAAGTTATAACCCATGTGAAATAATAAATATGGCCCAGCAAAAAAGGGAATGCGGGGGGCAATAGGAAAGGCAGCGTTCCCGTGTTACTCCAACCTACGGGATCCATCCTTCCAGCCTCCCACTCAGGAAAACGGCTTTTCAACGCTGCCTGTCAAAGCTCCTCCCAGTTTTGGCATCTCCACCTCTTCTCCCTGCAGAACTTGTTTTAAGCACTGAGGGTTTGGGGATTTTTTTAACCAATTCGTGGATATTTGCACCGGCACTCACGGTTTTTCCAGCGGCTGTTGCACATCTCAGGGTATATTTACTGTCAGCAAACATCCTGGCAGTAATCCTGGATTTATCTCTTTGCCTTTCTGGTAACTCCCCCATAACTCTGCGCCCTCAAAGCCCAGAAATCCAGTTTGCCACCCTTCACAAGGAACCTCCAGGCGTTTTGGAGAGCTCTATCATTTATCTCCTCCACAATCTTAATTCACCATGAAAATATTTGGTGAAACCCATCAGCAGCTTCCCTGATACAAGTGCAGAGACTCTACCACTACTTCTGCCCACACAATTTTCTCTAACATCCAAAAAAAGACACGAACTGTGGGGTTTTTAAAACACAACCCTATGGTGCTCAGCACTCTTGTTCCCCTTATCATTGAGGTCCCCATGAATTTTCCCAGCAATGGCACTGTGCTGCTGCAAAGACCTCTTGATTTATGTAAAAACTTGATCCCTTTTCCACCCTTTTTATGAGCAAAGGGTTTCTCTTTTCCTTTGGATGTAGCCTGGTGATTAACTGCACACTGCCACAAGCCCCGTGCACCGCAGTCCTTTGTTGAACGCCGCCACAGAGCCTTTAGATTTCCGAGGATGAGAAGGATGTCGGGAGTACAGACGCCTACAACAAAGAGAGCATCACCTTGAGACCTTCCTTTTTGTGAGATGCTGCCTTTTATCCTCGGTGCCAAGCAGCAGGAGGAGGGAGAGGGGCTTTGCTGAGGCTGGTGGCACAGTGCCGTGATCCGCTGTGCCGGATCCATCGGGTACCGCTCTCCTGAGCCATGGGATGGGGAGATGGAGACAGAGGCTCTCAACAACAGAAGGGAGAGATGTGCAGCAGGCAGGGAGCGTGGGGAGTGTGCTCTGGGAAGGGCAAGGGGGTACAGAAGAGCACCTTCTACAGAACTCCTGGGATGAAGTTGGGTTATTCCTCATTTCCCGTGAGGAGAGGGAGCCTCAGCTGAGCTCAGTAATTCCAGATGGATCCCAATGCGAGAATTGCAGGGTTGTGCCAAGGCATTGATCAATGGCATTTTCTGGGCTCCCCAGCAGAAGAAAGACACAGATCTGTTAAAGCAGGTCCAGAGGAGGTCACAGAGATCCTCCAAGGGCTGGAGCCCCTCTGCTCTGGAGCCAGGCTGGGAGAACTTGGGGTGTTCACCTGCAGAGTGACTTTGGATGAGGTCTGGAGTGACAGGACACAGGGAATGACTTCCCACTGCTAAAGGGCAGGGTTAGATGGGATATTGGGCAGGAATTGTTCCCTGTGAGGGTGTGAGGCCCTGGCACAGGATGCCCAGAGAAGCTGTGGCTGCCCCTGGATCCCTGGAAGTGTCCAAGGCCAGGTTGGCTGAGGTTGGAGCAACCTGGGATAGTGGGAGGTGTTCCTTGACAGGGGATTGGAACAGAATTGTCTTTAAGGTTCTTTCCCATCCAAGCTTTCCTGTGATTCTGTAACTGGAGCCACCTCATGTCCAGGACAAACTGGAACAGGAGCAGCCATGCCTGCTGCCCTNGGGTGTCCTGGTGTTTGCACAGGAGGGTTTGGGGTGGAGGGGATGTTAAAGGATCTGAGAGCTGCTGCCAGACCAGGCTGCTCTGGTGGCACCTGGCTTGTGGCAGCTCTGGGGTGGCAGCAGGGCCAGGGCAGTGCCCGTCCCCTGTGCTGGCACTGCTGGGGCACCTCCAGTGCTGGGGGCACTTCTAGGCCCCTCACAAAAAGATCTTGAGGGGCTGGGGAGAGTCCAGAGAGGGGAACAGAGCTGGGGAAGGGTCTGGAGCCCCAGGAGCTGCTGAGGGAGCTGGAAAGGGGCTCAGCCTGGAGAAAAGGAGGCTCAGGGGGCCCTTCTGGCTCTGCACAACTCCCTGCCAGGAGGGGACAGCTGGGGGGGGTCGGGCTCTGCTCGCAGGGAACAGGGACAGGAGGAGAGGGAACAGCTCAGGCTGGGCCAGGGGAGGTTTAGATTGGATATTAGGGAAAATTTCTTCACAGAAAGGGTGTCCAGGCCTGGCACAGCTGCCCAGGGCAGTGCTGGAGTCCCCATCCCTGGAGGGATTTAAAAGCCGTGCAGATGTGATATTTGGGGACGTGGGGCAGCAGTGGCACTGGCAGTGCAGGGAGAATGGTTGGACTGGATGATCTCAGAGAGCTTTTCCAACCCCAAAAAATCAGCGATCCTATGATGATTAACACTCTGGGACCTACACCCTCACAGAGGCAGGGCAGGGCCCTGAGGACCAAGCCAACACTGGGGTCAGAGACCACCTCACTTTGAATTCCAACTTCTCCCTCTCTGACAGGGAGATCTGGCACCACCACCGTGCCACAATTCCCAGGAGGGCACAGCAAAGGCAGCTGCTGCTTGTGCTGCTCAGCAAAGCCCAGCCAGGCCCTGTGAGGGTTACACCAACTCAGCTGAGTGCTCGTGAAGTTCACACCTCTGTTTACAGTGATGTAAGACGGGCAGGGAAGGTTTCAGCAGCCAACATAAAATAAAAAAAGGTGCTGAATTCCATTTAGTGCTTCTCAGAAGGTGTTTGGTTTGTGTGGAAGGAGTGCTGGAAAAGCATCTGAACTGAGTTTAAGAGGTCTCCTCAGATCTTAATCAGTGCCTACACATGGATGGAGATGCCCAGCTTCAGACCCTCAATGTCAGCTCTGGCTCACAGCTCAGGGGCAGGAGAATTTAGACAAAGCTTTAAAATTGCATCTGTGCATGTTTAGGAGGTAGAAATTTTTTTTTTTTATAATGAAAGTAAGTGTATTCCCTGTTTTCCCCTGGAAATGTTAGTTTGGTGTCCACAGTTAGAGTGAAGATCTGAGCTTTAATCAGAGACCATCCTAACCTGAAACAGCAGAAGAATGTTTAATTACTCCCCAAAGATGTGTTTTTTTCAAAAAAAGTTCTCATTTGAGTCAAAAGAAACATTGTGAAAACTCAAGAGGAATGTGAGTAGCGATTTTGGAAGTGATCACCCATTTTAATATCAACCACTTGAGGGCAAACATTTAGTCAGTGGAATGAAAGCTGGGAAACCTTCATTCTACAAAAGTCTGCCAAAACCATGGAAAACATGGAACAAAGGAGATCAGGAAACAACAACAAAAACAGAAATTAAAAAAATATTTGCCTACAGAAATAGGAGGTAGGGGAGGCCCTGTGTGGACTCACCTGTGTCGTCCGTCCGGCCGTTGGACAGCCGGAAGGAGTTGGAGTGGCTCCCTGCCTGCTTGTATTTCTTGAACCTGCCAAAGGGAATTGGGATGGAAAAGTCAGTAAATACCCACCAGGAAAGCCCAGGTCCCCTCCCAGATGAGACAAGCCACGCTTTCTCATGGCTTCATGAATTAGCTGGTGGGTCCAGGAGGCTGCAGGACCTCTGAAATCCTGCCTGTGAGCACATCTGGAACAGCTGCAGGAGCCCAGAGCCAGGTGGAAACCAGGAGGAGCTTGGAGGGTGCTCTTTACAGAGGACACCCCAAGGAGTCCCTCCCTGCTCCCTGGGCTGATCCAGCACGGCACATAAAGCCCAGGTTGATCTGTCCTGCAGAAAATCCCTGCTCCATGTGCTTTTAACCTGCTCCCTTTGCCTGAAATTCGGAGTTTTGCTGAATCACTGGGCAGTGAACACAAACCCTTCTTTTCAGGGCTGGAAGCCAGGTGGGAAGGACTCAAACTCTGCTGCTGCCGAACTCCTGAGGCAAAACTCTCCTCAGGTTCACTGCTGTGAGGGCAGGCCTGGAGCCAGGAGACAGAGGGAAGTTTTCCACTGGTAAGGAAATTTTGTTAAGACTTACGTAATCACCAAACTGGTGAGTAAATTAAAATGTTTACTGCAGGTGAATAAAGACCCTCTTAGTTATGCTTTTGGGAGCTGGGAATGGTTCATTTTGAGCAGGGCAGATGTTTGGATTCTAAAAGATGGACCTAGGAAGACTTTATTATGCTGTAATTTCAATTACACCATCACCTAACACTCCTCACAAGCTCCTGCCATTCACAGTGAAAGGTGCAAAGGGACCATGGAAGGTTTGGGTACCCAAAACAGAGTTTGGATGTTGGACCCTGCTCGTTATCAAGATGGGAATCAAGGAATAACAGAGTGAAAGGACTTTGTGGCTGTGTGCAGCCCCCCTGGATTACTCAGCCCATCATTTCCAGCCTCACAAGGAAACCTCACCTGCTTTTCCCCACACTGACAGGGCTTCAGTTCAATCTACCCTGCTAACTGTGACATTTTGAGAGGCAGAACAGGAATTCCCCACACCAGGAGCAGCTTTGCAGAGAAAGGAATAATCATCATTCACCAGATAACCCCAAACATCGTTTTCATTCATTGTCCTTACAGGTTTCTTTTCAAAGCACCAGCTGTGTCAGCCTTTAGCCTGGGAGACAGCACAAAAGGCTCATTCCTGTTCATTCAGGAATTGTTTCTGTCAAACAAGAGAACCCAGCATTAAAGCAGCTCTTACCTCAACATGTACAGAACAATAATAATAAATACTATGACTAGGAGGGAGGACAGGGCCACCATCACAGCTATAATGGGAGTCTCGTCTGCAAGAGGAAGAGAAAGGTGTGGTTATGGACATTGGAAAACATCCAGAGCCATCATTTAACAGGGGCAGAGTTCTACAATTTCTGCTTGAAGAACAATTCTGATGATGATATTAGTAATAAAAACATAATAAATAATAAATAGTATTAAGTGATGTTGCATTTTTGTTTTTTCAATCTGAGAGTGAAGAAAGAAAAGGATGAGTGAGCACCATGTGCCTCAGACACTCCCAGGTCAGATTAAACCCTGAAACCACCACTCAGAGCAGCTCAATCTCCTCCAGGAGTTGGTCACTGTGAAATTGTGACCTTGCAGATGAAAACAGTGATGGAGAAAGTTGGGACTGGGATATTTTTGGGGTTTCCTCTGCACACTTGAATGTGCATGGGGTGGCCCAGCAGCCACCAGCAGAAATTTCCTCTGACAGCTGGTGATCTCAATAATTTTCTGCCTGAGACTTAAATGTCCAGAGAAGTTCCTAACAGGCCCATGAGTTTGGGATAATACAAGAACTTTATATTGATATTAATATTAATATATATATTAAATAGGTGAAAACTGTGGCCTCTCCAAGATCCCACAGGTACATTTTTGACACCACCACCATCCTGCTTGCAGTTCTTTGCCAAACAGGACAAGAGGGCAAAGCTTCCTGCTGCACCTGGGACCTGAACACCTCCAGGGTGAGATTTGGTGTGGACCAGGCTGCCCAGAGCAGCTGTGGCTGCCCCTGGAAGTGTCCAAGGCCAGGCTGGATGGGGCTTGGAGCACCCTGGGATAGTGGAAGTCCCTGGCCATGGCACAGTGTGGAACTGGATGAGTTCTAAGATCCTTTCCAACCCAACCACTCCGTGATTCTGAAATTACAGAACAATTTGGGTTGGAAGTGACCTCCACAGACCATCTAGTCCCACCCCCTACTCTTTCCTCCCTGGAAATACAGAATTTAGAGAGCAGGAGAGGTCAGACACCACCAGGCCACCGAGTGTGACCCAGTTTGGCTCCTCAAGGGCAGGAACCTCACAATTCTCTTGCAAAAACACTTAGATTAGTCTGAAACATTCCCATCCTCCACGACCCACAACAAACTTTTCCTTTCTCTTTTAAATAAGCCATTTCTCTCTTGTGCTGGAGGTCAGTGAATCGGTGGTTGGTGCTGGCAAATCACCCAGATGGGTTGGAAGCCAAGCAGCTCCAACCAGGGAGGAGAATGGCCCCGAAGGGCATTTTTTCAGATAAATGTGGATGCCAGCCACACCAGCTGGGGTTATTTCCATTTTCCATCAGCTCCCTCCATCTGAGGGGGTCACCACATCGTGTCTACACAGCCCCAGGAGGCTGCAGGGCACGACCCCTCTCCCCACCTCCTGTGCATCCATTTCCCTGCAGATTCCTGCTCCATGTGTCTCAGCAATTTCAGCCAGCAGATTTCCTTAGGTGGGGTTTATTTTGTGCATCTCTGAGCTCTGATTATATTTCTGTGTTTGTCCCTCTGTGGTGTGAGGTCTGGGAATGTTTTTTTCTATTGAAACAGATGATTTCTGTGTCATGATTTCAAGGCAATCAGTGTGACTGATTTCAAGACCCAGTGTGGCAAATAAAACAATTAAATGATGCTGGTTTTGCATGTCTTTGTCCTTCTCATCTACTGCCCTAACGTGGCAGCACCTCCCACAGCTCCAAAGGAATTTATTGGGAATTCTGCCTCCTGCACACCTCAGTAGGTGATGAGCCTTGGCATTCCCCTTCTTGCCACTTCCCAATAGCAAGAACAGGTTGGTCTTGGCTCAACCACAGCCAGCCCTGGCCTCTCAGTGAGACTTCTGAGCCACCATCTCCATCCTGGCTGCAGGAGAGGAGGGAGAGCTGCCTTGCCAAAACCTGTGGTGTTAAATCACCCTGGGACCATTTCTTCCTGCCCTGGCTGGAGTTAAGCTCAGCCTAACCAGTGCTGGGCTGGATCTGCAGGGCAGTGGTGGCTGGTGGTTTGTGAGTGAGGTGTGATTTGTGGGCAGGGGTGGCTCTGGCAGCAGGGTGCAGAGAGTTTGGAGGTTTTGGGGTTTTTTTTCCTGTTCTTTCCACACATCTGGAGGGACGAGGAGTTGCAGCTCTCCCATCCAGCAAAGCCCAGGCAGGAAATGAGCTGGAGGGTCCCCAGCTGCTCCCTCCCCACCCTGCCAGCCCTGCTGAGCTGTGCCAACCCCCCACAGCTCCTGTCCTGCTCCAGCCTGGGGGTTTCATGCTGGAAATCCACCTGGAAAAGGGACAAGGGCTCGACCTTCCGCTCCCACAGCGCTGGAGCACCTGCTGCAGTCCAGAGCTTGAAAGGGATCAGGAGGCTTAAATCTTGTCCTGGCCCCTCTGAGGAGCCACCAAACCCTCCTCTGGTGCTTGGGATCGTGTCCCAGCTGCAGGCAGAGGTGTTCTGTAGGGTGTTCTCTGCATGTCACCCAGACCTGGGTGCAGCCATGGCAGAGGGATGGGGCTGAGCAGCCCATCCCTGCTCACAGCTGGCAACATCTGCCCACAAAAACAGTCACAGAACGGTTTGGGTTAGAAGGGACCTTAGAGATCATCCCATTCCACTCCCTGCCACCTTCCACCACCCCAGGTTGCTCCAAGCCCCATCCAAGCTGGCTTTGGACACTTCCAGGGATCCAATCTCTGGGCACCCAGTGCCAGGGCCTCCCCACCCTCACAGTCAAGATTTTATTCCCAATATCTAATCTAAACCTACTCCAAGTTTGAAGCCATTTCCTCATCCCATCACTCTATGCTCTTGTAAAAAGTCCCTTATTTCATCTGATTTCCTAACTATATTTATATTAATTAATAAAAATCTTGTTAGGAAGTCAGATTTATTCCCATTTTTTTTCTCTTTGCCCTCATGAGCAGGAATGAATGATGGCAGAGGGAGCACAAAATCAGGCCTAAGCCAGGCCAGATCTGAGGGAATTACAGCGAGCATTTCTGCAGAGGCTTAGCTACAATTTCAGATGAGTTCTATCAGACCTGCATCCCTTTTATTGTCCCTGCCCAGTGTGTGCTGCAGAGCATCTGTCTGTTCCCTGCACCATCAGTGAGCAGCACGAGGCAGAGTTTGCAAAGCTGCAGCACCCATCAGAGCCAGGATGAGAACACCCAGAGGCAGCTGATGCCTCCAGGTGGGAGCCAGCCCGGCTCTGCCCGCTCCTGGAGCGCTAAAGCCATGAGTAATTGCAAATATTCTGGTAGAGATGCCAGTTCTCAGAGCTGAGAGATGGAAAAATGTCCCTAAAGTGCTGTTCTCTTACAAGAAATGGATTTGTGTTTCTGCTTGCCAACAGAACGAAGGAGAACAGTAATTATTCCCATCATCTGCAGGATGGGTTTGGATCAAATCGCGTAAGTCACGGTCAATAAAGACAATTCAGCAGCAAAAAAAAAAAAAAAACCAAAAGGAAATTTTCTGAATGGCTTCTTAGACTTTGGTCATGCAGCTCTAGGGACGTGCTGACATTCTCAGAGCAGGAACAATTCGTATCTAATAGGACATGTACAAATTGGAATGGGATTGTTTCGTTCTAAAAAGAAAAGCTCAACAGAAATTAAGACATCAGCGTGTCACCAGCTCTTGTAAAGAGCTTGAGAGGTTTCATAAAAGCACATTTGGAAGTCCTAAGGAGATCTCTCTAACAGCAGAACACTTCTGGAAATGTTTTTAATGAGTAAAGAGCAATGAAATATAACACTCTTACCTCTTCTGTCAGAGTTACCTGCAGAAAAAGAAAACAAAAGTCTCTTAGCAACAAAGGAACAAGACATTTTACTAAGTCAGGAAGGATCAAAGACCAAGACAGGAACAAATTTAGTAACTCTCATCATTTGCCTGTAAATCTTTCCTTTAAAACACTAGCTATAAAACCAGGATGTTAAAATGAATTTCTGAGTAAGGAAATAAGAACAAATCCCGAGTTTTTATCAGCAGAACAAGGAGCTGAAGCCAAGCTTTAACATCAATAAACAAAACTTACTGTTTAAACCCATAACCAGCAAGTCACTGGTGTAATTCATTAGCACTTAAATATCAAGAGATAACACTGGTGCATAATTTTAAGAGAGTGGCTGAGCCAAGAGTTCAATTAAGAGCAGCTGGGCTCAGGGATGGGGGTGAGGAGCATCCAAGGAAAGTCTGGAGCTGCTGGGTTGGATGTCTCATCCAGAGGACACCGGAACAAACCCGTGCCAGGGAGAGCAGGGCCTGGATCTCCTGGGGCAATGCCCGTGGCCATGAGCTGTGTGTGAGGAGCTGCAGCACAGGGCTGAGGACAATCCTGGTGGGTTTGGACAAGGAGGAACTGCCTGTACAACCTGTGACCTTCTGCCCTTCTTGAGCACCACTTGGTTCTTCCATGACTAACACCAACATTTCCTGTTAAATCTTATGGTAAGGGCAGCCCTAAAGCTGATTTTCCTCCTTGACAAATTACTTAGAGAGATAAATAAAGAATTAGGTTTGATCATTTGTTCTCTGGGCTGACATCAAGTGAGAAGCCACTTCTGGCCTTGATGGTGCAATGGCCAGTGTGTCATGGCATAGACCAGGAGAGTCACCAAAACTGGTAACCCAAACCACAAAAAGGCAGTGGAGACACAAAAATGATAAATTCAGCCCCCCTCCCTGAGCAGCCATCATATTACAAAATCCAGATTTTAGCAGCACTGTTGCCTCCATCTCTCCTATATGCAGGCTACATTTACACCAAACTTGTCCCATGTGTGTGTCTAAGGCTTCTCCACTCTGTAAAAAAGGATTTGTGCTGGGGAGGAAGCTGGACGAGCTCAGGGATGGCAGAACACTACAAAAGCTGGGTTGTGAACTTCCTTCAGCCACATCCCTTCCTATGCTGGTAGGAAAGACAACTTCCCTGCAGCTTCACTGTGGCTTCCACAGATTCCCAGAGGAGGAGGGCACACACATCTCACTGAGGTGCAGAGACACCCAACAGCCACCATCCCTTGGGAAATTGATTCTTAAGGAATACACACTTGACACCTCCCTGCATTAACTCCACCATTATCTTGTTTCAGGGTGTTCTAATCCACCACCAAGTTACCAATCCTGTTTTACCACTAAATCCCAAGGTCTAGCAGGCACTGCCATCTTCCTGCTGCTGCTGGAAACACGCAGCACCCAAACTGAGCATCAAACAGTACAGTGAGGAAACCATGGCTGAAGAGCCACATCCCAGCAAGGATTTCTGGTCACCTCAACCTCTTTTTACCTGAATTTTTGCTCTTAACCCAGACTGAGCAGCCAAACTATGTTTTTTGGGGTCACTTTCCTGACGTGCCAAGAGGGGAATGAGATCAGGATGGCAACAGAGACAACTCTCTCTCATCTGGACCTTTCAAAGACTGAAGTTGCCCAAGTAATGGGGAAAATTGATGATGTCAGGAGAGAATCACAGAGTAGTTTGGCTTGGAAGCAAAGATCATCTGGTGCACCTGTGGATATCTTTCACTAGATGATCTTGGCCCAGACCTTTTGTCAGATAAATCTCATCTGATTTGTTCAGGGAGTTCTTTGGAACTGTCCCTAAAAAAGGTTTTCTGCTCCATTTTGCTCAGCAAAACAAAAGAAGAGCAAAGAAACAAACCCAGAGGGCAGGGTGGCCTGGAGAAGAAGAGGTGGAGGAGGTGCCTACCATTGTGGGAAGCAGAAGAGGTCTCCTGTGTTGTCACCACCATGCTGAAATTCCTCTCGGTCGTCTCCGCCTCCGCGCTGGGGACAGCGGTGTGTGGAGCCGACGGCGCCACGCTGGGGAGCAGGGACGGGGCTGGAGGCACAGGCACGGTTGTCCCCAGGGTGGAGGAGATGTTGAGGCTGCCAGTGGTGGCGTTGGGGGAGATCCTGGCAGCTGTGGTTGGAGGAGGATTTGGCGCTGTGGTAGAAACAGTCCCTGGAGTGCTCATGTTGAGTCTGTTTGTGTTAGGCGTGGTCCCATGCTCAGGACCTGCTGCAGGAGCTGTGGTGGGGCTCCTGGTGGTGGTGGACACTGTTGTGGGTGGCTCTGAGAAGGGAAAAGCACAGGGGAACCTCTGTGAGATTCTTTTCTGTGATACTGAGGGTTTGGATGCTGAAGATTCACATGACTGTAACTATAAAACACCCAACAAATCCTGACTGCAGGACAGGAAATGCTCTGCACAGCAGGTGATGCAAATGTCACAAAAATATAACTTGAACAGGTGCTATTTATGGGGAGGTACAAACATTAGAGCCCCTGGAGGTCAGGATCAATATCAGTCAGAGCTAGACCTGTGGGCCCCGTTTTTGAGCACCTGAAGCTCATCACTCTCTTTCCAACATTTTGTGTTACACTTGCATGGAGGGCAGAAGGAATGAGACACTGAGCACATTCACACTCACTGCTTTGACCCTAAAGATGGGATCAAAGAGAGATGAGGAGCACAGTTTACCTGTTGTAACGTTGTTAGCACCGACACTTATCAGGCCACTTCCGAGCAAAAGGAGAAAGAACCACAAATCCATGTTGACCTGGGGAGGAAAGCACACAACACTTATTTAAACCCTCATGCAGTATCATCCCAAAATAATCCAAGGTGGGAACGTTGGTGTGCATCTTGTAAGGCTCAGAGGGAGTGTGGTTGGAGTCCCTGCAGGCATCTGGATGGGAAGGATTTATGGGTGAGTTCATACAACCCCAGGAGGAAAGAACATGGAGAAATCCCAGTCTGGTAGAGCAGCAAAAATGGCCATGGATGGCAAAGAGCCTTGATCCCAAATGCCCCAGAAGTGGAGGCAGGAATGAAGGAGAAATCAGCTCCCCCTGGCTCAGTGACACCTGAAATGTTACTGGGCAGGGCCAGAACACTCAGCTCCATTCAAAGCCCGCTGGATTCCCTGTGAATGTGGGCAGAACAAACAGTCCCAAATAATCCAAGAAGATCAGCAAGCTCAGGCTGCACGCCCATACTGTACGTGCTTCCCAGGAAACGTCCAGCAAAATTACAGGACGATGACATCAGTAAAATCATTTCCCCCAGCCCTTTCTAATACAAGATTTTGATCCTCAGAAAGCTCTTGAGAAATGGGTATCATTATCTCCTCCCAAACACCTACAGATCCAGAGGCCCAGAGATGTGAGACGTCATCATGCTGGCCAGGACAGAGCTCAGAGCTGCCAAGTCCAGACCAGCACGTGGCCACGGGGCCTTCCAAGGATGGGCCAACACCTCTCCTCTGCTCTGAGCCCAGAGAGGGCTCAGACACAGCTCTGCTCCGTGCTATGGGCCAGCAGCTGCTCACGACTCCTGTCCTTCAGGCTTCTGTCCTGTGTCCAGTTGCATCTCCAGGATCTCCCAGGAGAGAGCTGCGAGATCTCGCTGCAAAGTCAACCTGAGGCGCTGCCAAGAACGGGTTTTATTCCCTCCCCCTCTAATAGATCTTGTGTTGTTTGTTCTTCTTCTATTTATTTAAATCTGCTTCATCTAGACCCATCCCAAGCTCTGGGCAGAAGGACAACACTGAAGTCATCCACGTGCTGGAAACGGTATCAGCAACACAAGATCCTCCCACCCCACCCGGGAGTATTCTCCCACCAGCACCACCTACTTACATGTTTTTCCTCCCCCTCCAAAAGAAAACCAGGCAAAAATCGACCTTACTCAGTGACCAAAAGGTCAGACAAACCCTGAACCAGAAGGAAACCAAGCTCTGAAGATAAGAGCTTTCCACAGGCTCCGTCCATGGCCAGCCCTGCTGCCACAAGCAGGGCAGGGCTTTCTCCAAGGGTCCCACTGGTATGAGCAGACAGCATTCCAGAGGGTTTCATCACCAGTTAAAATATCTGTCTGCATGAATCTGAACTGATTCAGTCCTCCTGTCACTGGTGAGAGCAGCACTGGTTCTGCAATGCCTCCCCCAGGCTGTGCTCCAGGGTGGGATGTCGGGAAAAACCCACAACCAGTAGTTTGATGGTTTGATGACTTTGATGACATGTTCCACTCATGGTGATTAACACACCCCACTCAGCCTGGTCAGCTGCCTGCAGAGTCTGAGATGAGCCTGGTCTACACAGGTTTGGCTTTGGGGAGAAAATCCAGTATTTATAAAGAATAAATTGTTCCTTGTCAGGATGGGGAGGCCCTGGCACAGGGCGCCCAGAGAAGCTGTGGCTGCCCCTGGAAGTGTCCAAGGCCAGGTTGGACAGTGTTTGGAGCAACCTGGTCTGGTTGAAGGTGTCCCTTCCCATGGCAGGGGTGGGATCTGGATGGTTTTTAAGGACCCTTCCTACCCAAGCCATTCCATAATTCTGTGATCTTTGTAACTTGCTGCAGAACTCAGATTGTCCAAGCATCCCACTGTGGAATCCCACAGAAATAAGGTGCTCATCCCGATAGGACCCATGTGCAAAAGCAGGAGGAAGTGAAACACACACACTGAAACTCCAGAGAATGGAAATGATGACACAGAGATGCTCTGAAAACCTCACAAGGGCTGATGAAAGCACCAAGATCTCATCATTGCAACCACTTCCCTCACTGGGAACCCTTTACTGCCACAGCAAGGACACAGTGGCAAGGGAAAGGGAAAGACTCGGCTCCTCTGGAAGCACTGCTAGGAAAAAAGTGACCACTTGCTGTGTTTTGATGAATATTTGCACAGTAAATCCATTCACAGAGGTGGATATGGCTCCTTGCTCTTTCCCCAACTTGCTTCTCAAAACAAGAGCTCCCCTTCATTTGAGATCCTGTTCATTTGGGATCCCCATTTGAGTTCTGTTTATTTGGGATCCCATTCACTTGGGATCCACAATCATTTGGGATTCCCATTCATTTGTGGTTCTGTTCATTCGTGATCCCACTCATTTGGAATCCCATTCCTTTGGCTTTCCCATTCATTTAGTATCCCATTAATTTCAGGTCCCTATTCACATCGGGTCCTGGTTCATTTGGGATCCCATTCATTCAGGATGCCCATTCATCTGGGATCACACTCATCCCATTTCTGCTCCTGTTCCAGGGAAGCTCTGCCAGAGCCTCCCCACATCCTCACCACACTCTCCCTTGGTATTAAAGCAGGACAGGGAGGGTGGGAGGAAAGAAGGAAAAGCCACGAATCCCCTCTCTTCTCTCCACTACTGGGAAATAACACACAAAGGATAAAAGAGTTTGGGCTTATTTCCATAAACTGTGATTGCTACATGGAGCAGAGCTACAGGAGATTCCTGGACTGGCTGCAAAGCCCTTTTGGGATGATCACAGAATCGTTTAGGCTGGAAAAGACCCTTAAGCTCATCAAGTCCAGCCATCGATGAGGGTCCCTCCTTCCCGATGCTCTGGGATTACATCAGCAGGCAGAGAGCTCTAAACCCGTCTTGATTCAACATTTAATCAGCTCATTGATCCATGAGTGGATTGCAGGAGGAGGAAGGGCTTGGCAAAGGGAGATAATGCTGGATTTCCCCAAGCCTTGCCCCGCTTCTGTGAAGAAAGCTGGATGTGGGCGCTCCGTGCAGAACCTGAGTTTTTATGGCTTTAATACTGTGACTGTGAGAAGGAACGGGATGCTGGGAGCACCCCAGCTTGCTGTGCACATCATTACCCAAAAATCCAAATCCCTGGAGCTGCTCCTGTGACAGTCAGCTGCCAGAGCTGCTTTATCACCTTAAAACCAGATCTGGAGCAGGGAGCAGGCGAAGAGCCCTGTGCTGGGGGAGGGCTGTGCCAGCCCAGCTCCCAATTCCCAGCCCCTGCTCTCAAACACTCCCTATTCCCAAAAGCAGCATAAATAAACGCCAGCGCTTCGTCGTTCCCCGCTCCTTAACATAAAAGGCCTCAAGAGTCCTACCCCAAAGCCGGAGAAACCCGAGTCTCCCTTCCCCCTCGGCTCCCTCCCTGCTGGTTTCGGAAACGGAGAGGAAATACTTGTAATGTTATCAACATAAACACAGCTCTTGGCCGGCTGCAACATCCTGCGAGCTCTGCAGAAAAACACCCTGACGTCAGGGCGCCGGCTCTGGCACCGCTGCTCCGGAGGCTCGGGATGCTCGGCATCGTGGCTCTGCTTGAAACCTTCTTTTTTTCAAAGATCAGGCTTGGAAACCTCTATAATTGCCACTGGTGTACCCATAAATATTATATATATATATGTATTTTTTTTGTAGATCTAGATACATACGTATCAATACATAGATAGTGTATGTGAAAAAAAAATAAAAAATATAAAGGAAATAATCTCTTTATAAAGTAATAAGTGGCTTCGAAATGCCTGTGCTGGTGCTACAGGGGGGGTCAGGCTGCAGGATCACCCTGCCGTGTTTCCAGAATGCAAAGAATTAGAGTTTATTGCTGCAGAAACTGCCCAGATCCAACCCGGATACAGCCGTCCACAATCAAAGGCAGGATTTACCCCCACCTCTGACATATTCCTAATTCCTGGAAAATGAGGCAATCTTTTTTCTGTGTGTACTGAGGAGACACAACCTGAATTCTAACCAGCTTTCCCGGGACCCCAGAAATCCCTGCTGTCATCAGGAGGATGCTGAAAGGCAGTGGCTCAACTGAGACTGCCTGGCTGCCTTGTGATGGCTCCAACTGCAGTGAAAAACAAAAATAATGTTCAATTTTCCTTTTTGTTTGTTGGTGGGAGGAGAGGGTGCAGAACTGGGAGCAAGGCTGGCTCTTTGAAGCAGCTCACAGTAGGGCGAGAACAAGCACGAGCATAAAGAAAGGGGAAAATGGACATTTTTCTATTCTTTTTGGTGGCAGCAAGCCATCAGCATGGCTCAGCCACCCTGGAAAACAAACCTGCCATTCCCTCTCCCCCCTCCCTGCTCCTTTCAAATCCTGTTTGTGGATTTGCAGCCTCTCGCTGGAGCTGCGATCCACGGCAGAGGAGTTTGTGTGATAGCAGGGCAACTTCAGCGCAACCCCAAACCTCTCATGCTGGATGAGATGCAAAGGCTGTAAAAAACACACAAGGAATAGCCAAGGGCTGCAGCGAGTTGGCCATCACAGGGACAGAAGAATTGAATTTAGGGAGGAAAAAGGGTTTTGTTACACTAAAACGCAGTGACTAATTCCTTGCATGTGTCTCCGAAGCTGAAGCGAGGCCTTTGATGTGTCACTGAACATTATCCCCCACCCTCTGCTGTTCCACTCTTCACCAGAAAAGATGAATCACAGCAGCCATTCACCCTTTCTGAAAACCCATTTAGTTTTCTTCTTTTTTTTTTTTTTTTCCTTTCTTCTTTTAAATAAACAGGCAGCTTCCACACAAGCGACAGTCCCTGTACGGAGCAGGGCAGGAGGAGGAGGAGGAGGAGGATGAGCCTGTGGGAAGGGCCTGGAACTTGGATTTCTCCACCTGCTCAACCTTCCACAAATCACTGCTTTCCTGCACATCAGGATTTGCTCATGGCATGGTTTGGAAGGCACCTTAAAAACCATCCAATTCCAACCTCCTGCTATGGGCAGGGATAACTTCAACTAGCCCAGGCTGCTCCAAGCCCCATCCAGCCTGGCCTTGGGATC